ATATATATATATATATATATATATATATATATATATATAGCTAAAGGTGTACTCTCAGTGGCAAGGGAACAATAATAATAAGAGAACAGCACCACCAAGGCTGGAGACGGAGCAATACTGAAGGAGCATATGGGAGAAGGACGCAACCCATAACGGCAATGCTCAGTGGCTAGTGGTTCTGAGGGCAGACCATAGCGACCTCCCTGAACAGGGTCCAGTAACCATCACAGTGGCAGATATCCAAGAAAGGGTCTCCAGTATGAAGAGTTGGACAGCACCAGAGCCCGACATGGTTCACGCCTACTGGCTAAAGAAGCTGACTGCACTCCACGAGCGTCTGGCAGCACAAATGAACCAGCTGCTAGTTAACGAGAGACACCCGGAATGGCTAACCGAAGGTCGGACGGTCCTGATCCCCAAGGACCCCAAGAAGGGACCGGTCCCCTCCAACTACCGACCAATAACCTGCCTCAGTACTACATGGAAGCTCCTGTCAGGCATCATATCAGCTAAGATGAACAGGCACATGGGTCAATACATGAGCGGGACACAGAAAGGAATTGGCAAGAATACCAGAGGCGCAAAACACCAGCTACTGGTAGACAGAACAGTCAGCCGAGACTGCAAGACCAGACTGACCAACCTGTGCACTGCCTGGATTGATTACAGGAAGGCCTATGACTCAATGCCCTACAGCTGGATACTGAAATGCCTAGAATTGTACAAGATCAATGGGACCCTAAGAGCCTTCATCAGGAACTCAATGGGGATGTGGCGTACAACACTAGAGGCCAACTCCAAGCCCATAGCACAAGTCACCATCAAGTGCGGGATCTACCAAGGAGATGCTCTGTCCCCACTGCTGTTCTGCATAGGCCTGAACCCCCTCAGTGAGATCATTAACAAGACTGGCTACGGATACCGACTACGGAACGGAGCAGTTGTCAGCCACCTCCTGTACATGGATGACATCAAACTGTATGCCAAGAGTGAACGAGACATCGATTCACTGATCCACACTACCAGGCGATACAGCAATGACATTGGAATGTCGTTCGGACTGGAGAAGTGTAGTTGAATGGTAACAAAGAGAGGGAAGGTAGTCAGAACTGAGGGGATTGAACTACCAGAAGGCAACATTGCAGACATAGAGGACAGTTACAAGTACCTGGGGATCCTGCAGGCGAATGGGAACCATGAAGAGGCTGCTAGAAAAGCTGCAACCACCAAGTACCTGCAGAGGGTCAGGCAAGTCCTGAGGAGTCAGCTGAATGGTAAGAACAAGATCCGGGCCATCAACACGTACGCCCTGCCCGTGATCAGGTACCCTGCTGGGGTAATAGGCTGGCCAAAGGAGGAGATAGAAGCCACTGACATAAAGACAAGAAAGCTCCTTACCATGCATGGAGGGTTTCACCCCAAGTCCAGCACCCTGAGGCTGTACGCTAAGTGCAAGGAAGGGGGCCGGGGACTGGTGAGTGTCAGCACCACAGTCCAGGATGAGACAACGAACATCCAAGAATACATTGGGAAGATGGCCCCAACTGACCGAGTGCTCAGTGAATACCTCAGGCAGCAGAAACCCAAGAAAGAGGAGGGAGACGAGGAACCATCATGGAAGGACAGGCCCCTGCACGGTATGTACCACCGGCAGATAGAGGAGGTGGCTGATATCCAGAAATCCTACCAGTGGCTGGACAAAGTTGGACTGAAAGACAGCACAGAGGCACTAATCATGGCAGCACAAGAACAAGCTCTGAGTACAAGATCCATAGAGGCTGGGGTCTATCACACCAGGCAAGACCCCAGGTGCAGGCTGTGTAAAGATGCCCCAGAGACAATCCAGCACATAACAGCAGGGTGCAAGATGCTAGCAGGCAAGGCATACATGGAACGCCATAACCACGTGGCTGGCATAGTGTACAGGAACATCTGTGCCGAGTATAACCTGGAAGTCCCGAGGTCAAAATGGGAGATGCCCCCAAGGGTGGTGGAGAATGACCGAGCTAAGATCCTGTGGGACTTCCAGATACAGACGGACAAAATGGTGGTGGCTAACCAACCGGACATAGTGGTGGTAGACAAACAGAAGAAGACGGCCGTAGTGATCGATGTAGCGGTTCCGAATGACAGCAATATCAGGAAGAAGGAACACGAGAAGCTGGAGAAATACCAAGGGCTCAGAGAAGAGCTCGAGAGGATGTGGAGGGTGAAGGTAACAGTGGTCCCCGTGGTAATTGGAGCACTAGGTGCGGTGACTCCCAAGCTAGGCGAGTGGCTCCAGCAGATCCCGGGAACAACATCGGAGATCTCTGTCCAGAAGAGCGCAGTCCTGGGAACAGCTAAGATACTGCGCAGGACCTTCAAGCTCCCAGGCCTCTGGTAGAGGACCCGAGCTTGAAGGATATACCGCCCGCAGGGGCGTGCTGGGTGTTATATATATATATATATATATATATATATATATATATATACACAACTTTTATGCTCGTTTTGAGCGAGGGAACCCCACAACCACAACCAAAGCAGACATGACGCCAGACCACCAACCTATGACTCTCTCCCCCACCGATGTAGGAGCGGTGCTGAGCAGGATCAATGTCCACAAGGCTGCAGGCCCTGATGGCATCCCCGGGCGTGTTCTCAGAGCGTGTTCTGGGGAGCTTGCAGGAGTGCTCACAGACATATTCAATCTGTCCTTGGCCCACGCTGTGGTACCGGCCTGCTTCAAATCCACCTCCATCGTCCCGATACCCAAAAACTCCAACCCATCTTGCCTCAATGATTACCGCCCAGTAGCACTCACCCCCATCATCACTAAGTGCTTAGAGCGACTGGTCCTAGCACACTTCAAATCCTGTCTCCCCCCCACCCTGGACCCCCACCAATTCGCATACCGCCGGAACAGGAGCACAGAGGATGCAGTCTCCATCGCAATGCACTCTGTCCTCTCACACCTGGACAACAACAACACCTACGCCAGAATGCTGTTTATAGACTTCAGTTCAGCATTCAATACAATCCACCCCTCACAACTCATCAGGAAACTGACAGACCTGGGTATCAGTTCCCTCATCTGCAAATGGTTACTGGACTTCCTGACCAACCGCCCCCAACATGAGCAGCGGTTATCCAGCCGGACATCTACCATCACAATGAACACCGGTGTACCACAAGGCTGTGTGATGAGCCCTTTCCTCTACTCCCTCTTCACCCACGACTGCAGACCTGCTGATGGTTCCAACACCATCATTAAGTTTGCAGATGACACCACGGTGATTGGCCTCATCAGTGACAACGATGAGGCCGCCTACAGGGAGGAGGTGGATCGTCTGGCTGAGTGGTGCGACAGAAACAACCTGCTGCTTAACACCGAGAAGACCAAGGAGCTCATTGTGGACTACAGGAGGAATGCTGACCCACATCCACCCATCCACATTAAGGGGACGGCTGTGGAGCGTGTGAGCAGCTTCAAGTTCCTGGGAGTCCACATCTCCGAGGATCTCACCTGGACGACCAACTGCTCCAAGCTGGTCAAGAAGGCTCACCAGCGCCTCTTCTTCTTGAGGACTCTGAGGAAGAACCACCTGTCCTCAGACATCCTGGTGAACTTCTATCGCTGCACCATCGAGAGCATCCTGACCAACTGTATAACAGTCTGGTACGGGAACTGCTCTGCCTCGGACCGGAAGGCGTTGCAGAGGGTCGTGAAAACTGCCCAGCGCATCGCCGGAGCACCACTTCCTGCCATAAAAGACATCTACAGGAAGCGGTGTCTGAAAAGGGCTGGGAAAATCATCAAAGACCCCAGTCACCCATCACATGGACTCTTCACCCTCCTGCCCTCTGGGAGCCTCCGGACTAAGACCACCAGGTACCGGAACAGCTTCTTCCCCACAGCTGTCAGACTCCTGAACTCTGCCTCCTGACATCTGACCCACGTTAAACTCATGGACTGAACATACACACACCCACAATGGACAACTGTACCCTCAAACACAATAATAACATGGACTGAACCACCACTCACAACCACTAGCACTTTATATAGCCTCTGTAGAAACTATCTACACCCTCACTTATCTTAACTGCACTACTGTATAGCTCTGTGTAAATAATCATTCTGTACATTCGATAATCTTTAATCCTACAACTGTTTACAACTTGCATAGTTCCCATTTCTGTATAGCTGTATATCTCAGATTTCTGTAAAGTTATTTATTTCATATTCTGTATAGTTTTTCATATTTATATCCTGTTCATATCCTGTACATAGCTTGTACTCACTACAGCCTGTACATACTTATAGTTATAGAATATTCACAACATACTTCATACCGTGTACATTATAACATACCATAATAGACCCATTTCTGTAATATACTCACATATCTATATTATTGCTAATATATATTGTAATATATCTATATCACTAAAGCACTTCTGGATGGATGCAAACTGCATTTCGTTGCCCTGTACCTGTGCATGTGCAATGACAATAAAGTTGAATTCTATTCTATATATATATATATATATATATGTATATATATATATATATATATATATATATATATATATATATATATATATATATATATATATATATATATATATATATATATATATATACATACACACAGACCCATTTCTGTAATATATCTATATAATTGCTAATATATATTTTGTAATATCATGGCTAAAGCACTTTCTGGATGGATGCAAACTGCATTTCATTGCCTGTACTTGTGACATGTGCACTGACAATAAAGTTGAATTCTATTCTATTCTATAGCTTTATGTATAGCAAGGTGGAAAAATCATTTAGGCAAATTCATAAAGTATATGAGAATACATGCTATATTTTTTTTATTGTGATAGCCCATCATTTCCAGTGAGTTATTACACTGTTGGCCTGCCAGGCAGATTTGAGGCACTAGAAGTGGATAAATTATTCATGTTTTTCCTCATAATGGAAAAATTAATGGAAGTGAGACCAATACCTGTACACTTGGTAGGCTGATGGGGTCCTCTAAGAAATTCACTCCTTCAAATGCCAGTGTAGGAAGAGCTGAGGGAGCGACACCAGTGTTAGGGTCGTATTCGAGGAAAGCATTGTTAAGGGGGTCATCGTCGGGTGGGAGCTCGTCCTGTGTGGAGTTGACTGCAATGATGGCCTCCATGTCAGATCATATGTGCTTAGCTGGCAGCGCCATTTTACAGTCACACAGTTATACTCACAGGACCTGTGGGAAAACAAAGAAATATACCAATGGACAAATGTTAAATTAACATGCTTAAAGAAAGAGTAGAGTATATGGAGGTTTTTTTTGGACTGAAGTACATCTTACATAAGATACACTGACTGATTGATAAAGCTATGTCATATTATGGAGCAGCATGACCATTCTACTACCTGAATCGAATATTTAATCTTATTTTATATCTTCACTCAAATGCTCAGATAAAGATCTGACTCTTTTATTCCTTTAACTAGCTAGTCAGTAACTGTGACCTTTAATGATTCGCAAACAGATTTCATGGAGGAACAAAGCATAGAAGGCTAAATATGTGGTGTGGAGCAGGGAAATTATTTTACTGCTATTGTTAAATAATCATCATCATTACCATTGCATTAATAATATAATCTGCAGCATTGATATTGTATTCAGAGGTTTAAACAGTGTGTGTGTCTTTCAGAAAGACTAAGTTGCAGTTGACAGGAAGTTGCAGAAGGCTTTGCAGAACTGAAACCGAAAGTCATTCTGAGCAGGTTAGACGAGGCTATTTGAATTACTAGGTTATCCAAATTGTCTGTTATACTTTTATATTCTTTTACTAAACTTTTAGTAGAGGTTCTTGATTAAAACATTTATTCAACATAGTACATGTAGTTTCAGTTAGGTTATTACACATAAGGATGAGCCTCTGGTCTGGTAAAAGGTCAGAAGTGCAACGGGTGAATTGAGAGAGCATTTGAGGACGACACACACACACACTCAGTTAGAGAGAATCATTTATAGGTGGAAGTTTAATCATGTTTTGCTTGGGGTTGCAAAAGAGCAGTTTGTCGCAGAACTGCTGCTGAGGTGTCAAGATGACAAGAGAGCATCCGGCAGTGACAGGAAGTACCGGCCATGAAGATAGAAGACAACGTTCCTTTAAACTGTGTTAAAAGTCATTATGGTTTTGATTTGACGTATGTATATATTCTGTCTGTGACGTATGAAGGGGCGTCGTTAATTCAAACCCTGATGCTATAAAAATCTGTCTATGCTTTGATTAAGTCGAAGATCAAGTGCTGTCTGCGTACAGACTGGTCTTCCCACGCGTGTATTCATTAAAATCAATTGTTTGACCAAGATCTTCTGGACCTGGTTGTTTGTACTCTCCTACCTCAATTATGTGAACCTTAACATTGGCTAATTAAAAACAAGGTCAGCTAAAAACATAGTGAATATTTAACTAAAAGTTATGATTTAAAAGTTAACCCAAGTAACAGTACAAGTAGCTAACAAACAGAAATGAAAATTTAGCAAAAATTTATATTTGAATTTAATGTCTGTAAGATAAGATGGGGCCTGATTATTCAAGAATGAATGTTTAAAAAAAAGGCTATGGTATAGCTGCAGTTACATAACTGAAACCTCTGTGTCCTGAATCCAACCACCTCCAACTGTAACTTTTTTAACAATATAAGTGATGTTACAATAGTTTAAAAACGAATCAAAAGACTAAAATAAGTTCAACATTTTTCACACATGATGAAAGGATTTTTGAAGGGGGAGCTCTTCTGACAAGTGAAAGAACGTTTGATAGAGAAAATTTAGTATATACTGTATTTGACACTACAATGGCAAGTAATGAGATAATTAAATCTTCAAGCCATATCAATAAACTTTGTTTTAATTCACGTCATACTCAACAGATTACAGCAAGCAATCAGGTTAAAGTAGGAAAACCATGTTATTTGACGCTGATTACTCTAAAACCCCAGTTTAAGTCAACCATTGGTGTTTGCCCATAATAACTATCCAATCTGCTGTAAACACAGACAGATTACTAGAATGCCCCACTAAACACAGGATTAAATCAGGAACACTTCATCCTGCAACAATATGAAATGTTATTGTAGGGTCTTTACCTTATATCATAAAGCACCTTGAGGGGAATGTTTCTTTATTTTATTTGGTGCCATATAAGTAAAATTACATTTAACTGAACCCTAAACATTGTTGTTCTGAAAATGTGAAGCTGAAGTTTGTGAAAAATACTTTTTTACTCAACAACTACAATGCCTTCATTTCTATGAAAATCACGTTACCCATTTTCACACACACCTAAAAGTAATCAGGTCACTGTCAAATCAACCTGTGTCACAATGTTATCCTTAATCCCTGTTCCTGGAAAGCAGCATAGAATATAAATGAGATCAGATTACTCCCAAAAGTAGAGCCTCAGATAATCTGCAGAACAGTCAAACACACATATACATACATATATGACAATTCATGAATAATTCCACCAACAACAACAACAAAGTTGAAAAGTGTTAAACATTCCTGTGATACTCTGATAAAATATTTATTTTTAATTTGAGATAAATAAAACTAACAATACTGAATCAAACTAGTGAAACAGTAACTGACCTCATGCTGCTTGCATTACCAACAATAATATCCAGTTAAAACAGCAGCAGTTTAAAAAGTGTGCACTTTTAAATATCTGGTTTTGATTTAAAAAAAAAAATATTGTTACTTTGTCTCATTTTGAGTATCAAAATTTTTGCCTCAAAAATTTAATCAAAAGACTGAATCCTAAGTGTCGAGGTGCCCTGCAGCAGGCAGAAACGTCTGGCCTGGTTGGTAGAGCAGCAGATGGGCGCAATACTGGGCAGCTCTCAGTGAAGTTACACCTTCAGGCTGTTAATATCGCTGCTCATTTAGCCCATGTGGACAAAGTAAAAGTCTGAGAGCCTACAAAGTTTGGGCATTTAAAAACTAGTACTGGATTTTGTATTTCTTATCACCAGGATTTGATAAGACCAGGAAAAAAGGAACTTAGGTTAAGTAGTAGTTAAGTTTCAGATGCTGTATAAAATGCAATATCCATAATCTCTAGGAAGGTAACTGCAAAAACTTTAGCAGTTACTTTAAACATACAAATGCAAAGTAATGATTTTATTGACTGTGAGGATGCTGTTTTTGATAACTTATATTTTAAGTTATCAAAAACAGTTACATCTGAAATTCCACAATGTCAGATGTCTCACTTTTTATATCTTTATTATGTAGATATTCAAAAACTGGGCATGCAAGCCAAGCAGTGCTTGCCCAATGAAACCTAAACATAAAAAAATCACACAACGACCAAGACTGTCCAAGCCGGGGCTCGAACCGGCAACCTTCCGATTACAAGGCGACCTCCCAACTCTTGAACCACGATCGCCCCTAGATGCTATTGATAGCATCAGTAGTTTATATCAGCATGCATGCTTATGTCCCATTAACAAAGGCTGGAGCTGAACAAGCTGAGTAGACACTATAGCCTCTTTTCCTATAGTACCTACTTGGATTGGCTCGACTCGACTCTATTCTACTCTACTCAGTTTTATTCATTTTCCATGCTCTAATCACCCCAAGCACATTGAGGTGGTATTATAATTGAATACCACCTCAATGTGCTTGGATGGATTTTTGTGAAGGAGTCGCTCTCATTAGCCGTTTTGTGGGATGTAGTCTCCTTGATGTCACATTTTCAACCCCAACCGAGCAGATACTATCACGTAATGGAAAATCCTAAAATCTGACTTAAGTCAAGTCGAACGAAGTACGTAATAGTGGAAAAATTGGTACATCTTAATCTGATTATACTGTCTAGTTTTGATGGGACCTAGTGTGTTAGACAGTGAAAGCAAAATCAGCAACAGCTTCTCTTAGTTCAGTTACAATCTTGACAATGTGTAAAAACCAGAATGGTAAATATTAAATGGCCTGTATTTGTATAGCGCTTCACAATTCTGCACTATACAATATAGTCCTTTTTTTTTATTGTTATTTTGTTGTATTTTTAGTTCCAGATGTCCACCTACTGCAAGAACCTAAATTGAAATGGATAGGTGCCATCTTGGAAGAAAGTTTCTAGTTTCTGTATAATGGTGCACAAAGTCAGACTGTGTGGTTCACAGGTGGGAAGATGTCACACCAGCTGTGTCATAGTGTCTGAACACTACCATGCACATGCAACTGTGACCTCTCCATTTCACAGCTCTGATATGTAGGTCAGTTAAATAAGCCTCAAAGGACATTTCATCAAACAGACAGACAGACACACACACACACACACACCAACAACAACAACACAAGAATGGTAACACAAACACACACCAATGTGAATCTAAATGCACTTGCACATGTACTCACACAAATCCATGTGGGAATAAGCACATACAAAGAAACACATTCACACACAAACACACGCACCCCAGCGAGCTAATTCACTGAGCAAGTTGCTAGAGGGAATTCAGCTCCCTCCTGCTCTTTCTCTCGGCTGACAAGATCAGTGACTGTGCCGAATCATACTCACCACAAGAAACACAACACTGCGAGACAGTGCTCAGCAAACTAAACTCACAAAAGGACTCAACAAAGCATCTTTTTCATGTTTATATGTATACAAAAAAGAGACAGGTGAGGGCTGTGTGTTTGTGTTAGTTTAGTCAGTCACATTCATTGGTCATCAGAGGACTGAAAGAATTGCAAAGAACTGCCAGAGTTAGCTGAAAAGGTTAATATTCATCTGTTATGTATTAACTGGCCTCTGGGCACAGACATGTGAAAGGCCCCCTGCTCCTTGTACTAGGAGCAAAACATCCAGACTGCAGTCCAAGTCATTGTCATGCACTGAATCTGAGGGTATGCCTGTTTGATTCATAGCTTAAAAAAATACTGAATGGTTACTTTTTTTGAAATAAAGGAAATAATTAATGAGTAGATATAACCAAATCTAGTTTTAAAAAGTAGATGTAGATGTCAGCCATGAACTTTGGCATTTCAAAGCCTCAAGGTTAGTGGTTTGCGGTTTTTTTTAGCCAGAAGGGACCATTCTTGGATGAGAGGGAGGAGTTCAAAGTTATTATGCTAACAACAGCTAGCCAACAATCATGGCTTTCTCTTTACCTTACAATATGAAATGCATTGAGGTGACTGTTGGGATTGGTGCTATATAAATAAAACTGAAAAGAATT